TAGATAGATAGATAGATAGATAGATAGATAGATAGATAGATAGATAGATAGATAGATAGATAGATATGGTTAAAGATGCTGAGACAGGCAGGTTCAAGACTTGAACTCTGCGCAACAGGGTGAACGCCCATTATTTGCCCCAGTCCTGCCTACCAAGCAGTTTGAAAACATGCAAATGCAAGTAGATAAATAGGTACCACTTCGGTGGAAAGGTTACAGCAATCTATGCACCTTTGGCACATAGCCATGCCGGCCACATGACCACAGAAATTGTTTTTGGATAATGCTGGCTCCCTCAGGCAAGAAATGGGAGATAAGCACCGTCCCCTAAAGTCGAACACGACAGGGAAACCTTTACATATATGCATGTACGTACGTATCCATGTATATATGTATGTAAGTATGTATGTCCATGTATGTAAAGGTTTACCTGCCAGTGATGTCCGACTCTAGGGCATTTCAGTCAGCCCTCAAATCTTATTCAGCTTTTCCCAGTCGGGTGTCCTTCAGCTCTGCTGACTCTTCTATAAAGTGCTGCTATTCTTTTCATCTTGGGAAAGGGGGCCACATCTAAGAATAACCATCTCAAACCACAAGGATGCTCTTCTTCCCTGTTTCAGCATCTTAAGAGGAGACGCAGAGGCACAAACCTTGCATAACACTGTGGAGATCACATCTTAGATTTCTATTTCGACCCATTTCAGATATAACAAAAAGCTACATCCTTTATACTATCTATTGTTAGAAAAATTGGGGTTTTTAATGACTATGATGTCACCAGCCTTCTTCCTTGTGGCCAATGCTTCATATTGTACCTTCTAGAAGACTATGGTTTATAGATTTGGATACATAATTCAAAGCTCTAGGTTCATAGAAGTTGTCTGATGCCCCTTCATATTATTATATGTTTCATGCCTACCCTGTATATTTTTAAAAACTAAATATGCTTGCATATGAATCCATCTGCAGATTAACCAACTCTGGAATTTTTAAGCAAATTACTGTGAAAAACATACTATCCACAGATAAGCCGACCTTCAAAATGTCTGTGTGTTTTAATTTTCACGATTGCCTTAATCATAGGTAATCCATGGATTATTCATTTTTCATGGTATTTTGGTTAATAAGGGTCAGCTTATCCCCGGAAGGGCTTATCTGCAAGAATATATGGGTGTTTTAAAAATAAGTATTACTCTTTATGCTTGCAGATAAGCCCATCTGTGGAGAAGATAATGTGAATTGTTATGGTGTATTTTGACATCTAAAATTCACAGTTTATTCACAAGAATATAACTGTCAACTGTGCCACTCAGTCATCCAGCAAAGAAAGATTCCTGGCCATTTGTTTTTTGTTTTTTGCCAAGAATATACTTTACTGAAGCTTATGAAGCTTCATGATAAGAAGTGAAATGTTTTCAAGAAAAACTCTCCAAGAAAGTCCAGTTGCCTTTTGAAAAGCAACTTTGGAACAAATTTCACCTCCCCATTTCCAATCATGGTTTGGCAGATTACAATTCCTTTTTACTACAATGGAGTAGAAACAAGATAGACAAACTTTTTTTTATTTTAGAAGCTGGCTTGATCTCTGTAACCACACTTCAAATAAATCACTGGGGCATTTGACAGTGATTAGCCTTGGCATGACAGTTTCTGATTTCACAGCTGTGAACATTTTTTTTAATGAAAAAAGGAGAGGAGAAGGAAGAATGGTTCAGAATGAGATAAAAATAAATGCACATTGTGTCTGGATTAAGCAACTGTGTCTCTGAACAGCTGCATTTGTTATTATTCCAAAGTGAGAGAGAGAAACACACACACACTGTTTGTGTTTCCTTTGTTTTTTTCCTTTCTTTTGTTATACTATCAGTTGAGGGAAAAATACTATTTCCAAAATATACAAATGCTGCATTCATTAAAAAAAGGATGCAAATCTTCACCCAGTGATTTTGTGACTTGGCTATGAAAATCAATTACTCCCAGAAAGAGAAATAGATAGATAAGCAAATTTTGGATAAAATGAAGCATTGATCAAACCCTTAGATAACTGAATGCCACCCAATTCTTCATTTACCAAATTTTGTTGAGTTAAATGGCAGAGTTTACATAGGACGACCAAAGGGAGACAAAATAAGCCAATTACACAGCAAATAAAATAAAGCAAAACAAATATAATACTAAAATTTTAAATGAAAATTTTAATCAAAACCCAAAATATTCAAATAAAATACAAAAACAATGAAATGCTGTTTACTGCAGTGTTTGCCGGTCTAGGCAATTTTAAAATATGTGGACTTCAACTTCTAGAATTCCCTAGACAGCATGCTGGCTGGGGAATTTTGGGAGATGAAGTCCACACATCTTAAAGTAACCAAGGTTGAAAAACACTGCTCTAGAGCATCGTGTCCTCTCTTCAGTCAAAATGGTCTTTTCAGGCAGATTCCCCAGGTCAAAGTTTTGGATTTGTAAGAAGGCTCTGCTCTACTACAGTAGTTCCCAGCCCTGGTCTTAAAAGTTTCATGGTCCTTGCTCAAAATTGTGACCCCACCATGCTTACAAGGCTGTGGATTGGTCATTCTTTCAGCCATAAGATGGTCTATTTTATTTATTAAATTTGTAGCTTGATTTTTCCTGTAGGAATCCAAGGCAGCATTCACAGCACTTTATCATCTTATTTTTTCCCCATGAGAAAACTGTGAGATAGAATTGGCTGAGATAAACTTACAGGCTCCACATCATGAAGTGAGCCTCCATGGTTCAGGGTGACACAAATTTGAGTCTCGTATCCCTAATCTACCCCCAACCATCATCCCCAACTGGATTTCAGAAGATACAGTGGGACAAAATAGATAAACATGTGACTATTAGATCAATAATTTGCCTTGACTGCAGGACCTCAAAGGGTTATAATTTAATTTTATCTCCCAAACCACAACTCTGTAAGTAGGCCAAGCTAAGAAAGATGGACTAGCCAAAATGTCCACAGGGAGCTTCTTAAGACTGACCCTAGTCTTAATCCAGCATTTTATCCACTACATCATACTAACTTGTGCTTGTTCTATTCAGAAAACACAACGAATCACAAATTAGCCGACTGTATTTTAACCCATATGGCTCACTGAGTGGTCTACTTTTCATGCCAGAAAATTGGTTTGAATAAATCGGCGTTTCCTAACCGTAGCAGTTTGAAGATATGTAGACTTCAACTCCCAGAATTCTGCACTCAGCAAGACTATTTGTGGAATTCTGGGAGTTGTAGTTCACATATCTTAAAGTTGCTACGGTTAGGAAACACTGGAGTAAATGATAAGTGAATTCAGGTAAGCAGGCTGTGTCTTCTGGGGACCCGAGACAAGGATTCCGAACATATCTCTTGCCTCTATTCTGGGATATTGTGATATCACTGGGATACCACTGATAGCAAAATATGTTCACAAAGCAGAAATGTCGCAAGGGCAGGGCCAAAAGGTGCCCCCTTCATCGCTTACCACACAGGGCAATGATATGACTGCTGTCTTCATGCACAAACTTCCTGGTGACAGCTTCTTCCATTATTTGCTTGACCTGAAAATGAAAAGAATGTAAAAGGTATTGAAACCGATAGGCATAATGTTAAGTTATATTAATTAACTAATTAATTAATTAAACACGTTAAACTAATGCTGGATTTTCACGTAGGGTTAAACCAGTGTTTTTCAAATTTGGCCAGTGTAAGGTACATGGACTCACTTGCAGAATTCCCCAATCAATATGCCAGAGCAGCATATTCAAAATTAAAGCATTTATTGATTTTACACATGCTCCCTAATTTTTGCAGGTGACAAAATAAAAGCATTTTAAAGCCTAATAAAAGACAGGTTGTTTAATTCCCCGAGTTCCTTCCTTCAAGGAACCTCAGTGGTTTGCCCACAAATTACCTTTCACTGTATCCACATAAAAATAACTCAGTGAGGTAGGTTTGGTTGGAAGAGGTAGATCAGCACAAACACAATTTGTTTCTATGGGCTATAAGTAGATGTCAATCTGGATCTCCAGCTACAGCTGTATTATTTGTAAAAAATATTTTAGTCCACTTTTCATTCAAAAAAAAAAAAAAAAAACATCCCAAAGTACCATGACTCACTCTCTTCCTGGCAATGACTCGCTAGGATTTTCAGCAGGATATGGCTTGTCATCATTTGCTCCAGATTTTTTTAACTGGAGATGCTAGAAATGGAATCTTCTTCAACCTTCCACATAGAAAGCCAAGAACTTGACTTATCATTAGAGGCAACATCCCAAAAGCCAGTCTGGTCTAGCAGTGAAGACACAAGATTAGAAACCAGAAGGCTGTGAGTTCTAATCCTGCCTTAGACATGAAAGCTGGCTGGGTGATTTTGGGCCATTCAACAGGAAATGGAAAATTCTAATCCTGCTTTAGGCATAAAAGCCACCTGGGTGACTACAGGCCAATCACCAGCAAATGGAGAGTTCTAGTTCCACCTTAATTCATGAAAGCCAGCTGGGTAATTTTGGCCCTGTCACTCCCTCTGAACCCATCCCACCTAAATAGGGTTGTTGTGTGGAAAATAGAAACCCTATGCCATTTGAGACAAATGGTTGTTCAATCTCTTCTTAAAAACTTCCATGCTGAAGGATCCACAACTTCTAAAAGCCAGTGATTCCACTGATGAATTGATCTCACTGTCAGGAAATTTCTCCTTATTTCTAGGTTGGTTCTCTCCTTGATTAAATTTCCTGCCGTTGCTTCTTGTCCTGCCTTCAGGTGCTTTTCTTTGTGGCAGCTTGCATGATAACAGCCATACCTGGTGATAGCTTATAGATCAGAGGACATCTGATGTTCCATATAGTCAGAATGGACAGTAAGACGCAATAAATAAATATAAATAGCAACAGCCATTACGGGCCTGATTCAAATAGCTCTTAGCTCAAAGCAGAGGCTATGTCAAATGGCACGCAAAAGTAAACATCATTAAGAACCCTTAAACCTTTGGAATAGTCAATTTTAAAAACAAACATACAGCCTACATTGCTGGTCCATTAAGAGAAGGGAGGAAAATACCTAGAACAGCATGATCTATTAGTCAGGAAGGCTAACTAAAAGCTAGAAATTAGCAAAACAGTGTATATTTTTCATTAGACATTTTCACCATAGGAATTGCTGCTGCATCCCATTCAGCATTTTGAAGACCACTATTATGTATATGTAAATAACGTAGTTGGGTTGACAATATATAAACTACAAATATATATGCTTGTAGCTTTAAGGAAAAACACTGCAATGTATTATGCCGTGTTCTGGTTGGTTAATTATGCTATAAGTTGCCATAAGAGGTAGCTATAGATCATGGTTTAATTCTCTTTCTCTTTTTCACTGATGATCTTTCTTGATACTGATACTGACTGACTACAGACTGACACTGACTAACCCTGTTTATTTTGATATTCTGTTGATATCAAAGGTTATTTGTTATATTATGGTTTGATATTTGTCTGCTGTAAAAGACATGGAACTGGTAAGAAGACTTTATAACTATATGTAAAAAGACTTTATAACTGGATATTTCTGGACTGTTAAAAACGTGTATGACATGGACTGTTTATTGGGCTGTGCTATTTCTTCAAGTAAACATTAATACAACTTGTTCAACTCTGTGTAGCTGTATATTTCTTCATAACTGTTCTTATAAACTGTTTTCTGTGTGCATATCCTTTTTATACAAGGGTTACTCTGCACATATCCTAACAACCACCACTGATAAACTCAGTGTCAACATAAGAAAACTAAATATTAATAAATAAATGTCCAAGATTTGGTCATTCTCGCCTCAACATTCAAAATACATCAAGCCAGAACAACAAATCCTGCAAAAATTCAGCAGTTTTCCCATGCTGGCAGGGGAATTCTGGGAGTTGAAGTCCATCAGTCTTAAAGTTGGGTTGGACACCATTGTCCTAGAGCTTCAGAGACAAAAGTAACTTAATAACAGTTGTGGTGTCCTTTAAATCAGTGGTTGGCAACCAATGGGCCAGGGATCACTGGTGGTCCGCGAGAAAATTTTGGTGGTCCACAGAGAAATGTTACCCCAAAGCATCCCCCAAAGCAATTAATCCAGGCTGCACAGGAACACAAAGCTGCACTGCCCACATGGCCCGCGGGAACACAAGGCTTGTGTTGTTTGCATTGCGAACAACACGAGGTAGTGAGGGGAGGGGGGGAAAGGGTGGAGAGGGGGAACTTGTCCTACTCGCCCCACACACCTTGTCTGGCCACCGGGCTGCTTCTTTCCACTTCTTTCTTCTGCTTTTGGCTGCACGCACGGAAAGCAGCAAAGTCTTTCTTTCTCTCCCCCAAACTCCACCAGAAATGAGTCTTTGGGATCCTGCAAGGCATCTTGCTCCAAGAGGCTGCGCTGGCATGACAAGTCTCACAAAGACTTATTTCTGGTGGAGTTTGGGGGAAGAGAAAGAAAGGCTTCTGCTGCTTCTGCTGCTTTCCTTGCATGAAGCCAAAAGTCTCTCTCTCCCTCTCTCTCTCCCCTGAGAATGGAGCTGGAGATGGTATCCTGTGGTCCCAAATAAAGAATGATTGATTGGTAGAAAAACGGGGTGGGAAATTTTCCTGAAGACTTTTTTGGGGATTTTCCCAGGGTCTCTGGTCCACAGGATTTAAAATTATGAGTTTGGTGGTCCCTGAGGTCCAAATGGTTGGCAACCCCTGCTTTAAATAGCCCATGATTGAGAGGAAATAAACCCCACAGCAAACAAACGTATCTTTGGTGGCGGCAACACTTATGCCACTTGCCAATTTAAACAAACAAAATAATAATAATAATCACTCAGCCAAAGATAATCTTGGACTGTTGGTTCCTTGCCACACACTATCGATCCAGAAGGGAGGGAAAGGTATCATTCCAGAAACAAATTGCTTCGATCCACAGAAAACAGCGGGAGGTGGAAGTTGTTGCTTTTTAAGAAATAGGAAACATTAGCAGACGAGATTAGCCTGTAAATAGCATCCTTGAGAGATCTGTGGAATATTGTTAAACTAAAGGTGCCCCTCTGCTCCTGTTTGTACAATCTTTATCCACTCATTCTTTGCTTCAGCATCATGTCTAGTTACGGATAGTCCTCAATTTACAACTATTAGTTTAGTGACTGTGCAAACAGCACCGAAAAAAGTGACTTATGACCATTTTTCACACTTGCAAACATTGCAACATCCCCGTTATCAAAATTCAGTCCCTTGGAAACTGGGGCAATTTAGGACCATTGCAGTATCCTCTATAAGGTCATGTAATTCACTTTTTGCGATCATCTGACAAGCAAAGTCAACGGGGAAGTCAAGGGTCACTTTACTACTATGTTACTAACTTAAATGCAGAGATTCACTTAACAACAGTGGCAAGAAAGGTCGTAAAGTGGGGCATGTTTTACTTGACAAATGTTTTGCTTAGCAAGGGAAATTTTGGGTGCAATTGTGGTTGTAAGTCAAGGACTTCCTGTATAGAGACCCCTCAATTTATCATTCATTAATGACTATTCAATGTTATAATGGCATTGGAAAAAGCAATTTACAACCAACGGGTCCTTACACTTATAATAATTCATCAAGTGTGATTGGACACACAAGGAATTTCTCTTTGGTGCATATGCTCTTAATGTACATAAAATATATATTCATCAAGACTCATAAGATACAACACTTAGTGATAGTCATAGGATACTAAATAAGCAATCAAATCCTACTAGGAAACTAAATAAAACAATATAAACCGTAAAGATACAAGCAACAAGGTTATGGTCATAAGTGGGAAGAGATAGGCAATAGGAAGGATGAGAAGAATAATAGTAGTAAAGTCTTAGTAAATAGTTTGACAGTGTTGTGAGAATTATTTGTTTAGCAGAGTGATGGCATTTGAGAAAAAACTATCCTTGTGTCTAGTTGTTCTGGTGTGCAGTGCCCTATAGCGTCGTTTTGAGGGTAGAAGATGAAACAATTTATGTCCGGGATGTGAGGGGTCATCCCCATGATTACATGATCAAAATTTGGGCACTTGGCAATTTGGCATATATTTGTGACCGTTGTAGCATCCGAGGTCATGTGATCACCATATGTGACCTTCTCAGTCTATGGTGATGCTCCTGTCAGCTTTGGAAGCTATATTAAGATCAGATGCTCCCACACTGCCACATTTTAGTCTGGGAAAGTGGGAGGGGGGAATTTATTGGAGTATATCTAGTAAGATATAACAACATTCTTTTTCTGGTTCAAGGTCAGGTTATTTTGTACATAAGTGAGAGGAAGTCTTAACTTGGAATGGATGGCGATTGGGCCATGTGATGTGATGATGGGTGCAAGAAATGGATTTGTAGTTTTTTACTTATTGTAAGGAAGCCTGGAACTTTCAGATTCGGGATTCCCCAGTTGTGCCAGTTACTATCCAAACAGAAAGGAACCTTTGAGAAGATGTCTGTCTCGGAGTTATTGGGAGGAATGGGGGGTTGCTGGAATGCTGACAGCTACTTTAAAAGGCTCCAATCATTTTTCCACAGAGTTACAA